AAGCCCCCAAACATCTTGAACTCAGGGTCTTCCCCAAACTCAAATCGCACAACCGTGACATGACCCACGTGTATGTATGTATGCATATATACACGCATGTATACACGTATGTATCTGTATATATATATACAGATTAGAGAGAGAGAGAGAGAGAGAGAGAGAGAGAGAGAGAGAGAGAGAGAGAGCCCCGTTCTTGAGCCGTAGCCAAAACTTTAACCCTAAACCCCAGCCCCTAAACCCTAAAGCAACCCACTGCCAGCGGCCTCCAAACTCCCTTGGCCGCTCTGCCGCCACGCCCGCCGGCGTGGCGAGCGAGGGGCCGCCGAAGAAAAGTGGCCGGGCGGAGGCTCGGGCCAGGTTCGCCCTTAGAAAAGGGCTCTTTTTTTTGTTGGGGTTTGGGGCTGCTTGGAGTTTTGGGCGGTTTAGGCTTTGGGGTTTTAGGCTTGGGGCTTCGGGTTTTGAGGGCTTCCGTCCATGTAGTGTTGAGGGTAGGGGTTCAGCCCCGGTTTTGGGGCTCGCACTTGGGGGTTTGGAGTTTTTTGGCGGGGTCTAGGGCTTACGGGCTTTAGGGTTTCGGGTTTAGGCTTGGGGGTTTAGGGCTTTTGGGGTTGGGGTTTAGGGTTGGGGTTTACGGCTTTAGGGTTTGGGATGGTGAGGTTCACAGTTTAACATTGCTCGGGATTTAGGATTGAGATGCTGTTTGTGGCTACAGAGTCTCAGTAGCTCGGTGGTACTAGCTGCGGAAGCAGCTGAGGAGACGATAAGCAAGATGAAGGCGATCGCGAACCCTTCAACCGTCGTCAAAAATCAGCGTCACGTTGTACCGGCGGCGACTCCGGATACAAACAGACGACCATGGCCTCGGCCCCGACGACGATGATGATCGTGATGACAGTAGGGTAGGTGATGAATGTCAGGAGGAGGAGGAGGAGGAGGAGGATCTTATTGAGAGCAGGAAACTCGTTGCTGACTCACGGTGACTATCGATTTTGAGGTTGATGATGGTTGCGATGGTGGTGATGGTGATGGCGACGCTGGCACGAGCCTCGCGCGTCAGCCGCATCTTAGGTCAACAGCAACCTCAGAACAAATGCCCCGGGGATGGCTCAGAGCCGATCTGATCTGCGAAATGCGGGCCCTTCGAAGACTGAACCTTGTCCCTCCAACACCCAAGACCTGACTAAACCTAAGATCTTGAAAACGAGCTAAAACCCAAATGGTCCTAAACCCTAAACCCTCAAAACGCTGAACCCTAAACCCTGATTCCTAAACCCTAAACCCTTAGTACACCCCGAAGCCTCAAGCCCAGAGGCCCCTCATCCAACAGGAACCTGAGGCCCAGACACGTCTCGCAAGAGCAGCCGACCTGCACGGGGCGTGCTGCAGGGGTTCGAGAGCTGAGGTTGGGGAGACCTGCTGCTGATGATAGAAGTCCTTAGCATTACCTTAAGGACCCTAAAGTATGGGAATTAGGGTATATTCCTTATTCTGGGTCATGCAGGATGTATATCGTCAACCGTAGTACTGGGTTGTAGTTTTGGGGCCCTTAAAAGTATTTATGAATATATAGGCACCAGAAGGGAAATTCTGAAGTTTCCCAAAGCGCCATCTAGAGTATCATTTATGGCTTCGGGCTGGGAGTTTAGGGCTTAGGGTTTTAGGTTTCGGTGCGAAAAGGGGTGAGGGTTTGGGCTCGAGAGGCTGCCGTCCAGCTTTTGCTCCCGCTGCTTCTTCTGATGAGGTTTGCGGCTTTGCTTGTGGTGCTTGAAGCTTGGTTGCTTCAAGCAAAACCATAAAGCGCAAACCCCAAACCCTGAATCCTTCACCCTAAACCCGGAACCTTAAACCCCAAACTCTACCTCCTCGAACCCTAAAACCTAAAACCCTAAACCCTAAAAACCCTAAAACCCTAAACCCTCAACCCTAAAACCCTAAAACCTAAAACCCTAAACCCTTCAGAGCTCTTGAGCCTTCTTCCGCGGCACGCTGGGATCCTCGGCCGAGCCCGGCCGCTGCTGCGGCGTCGGACGTCGTCGCCACGCCAAAGCCTTTGTGAAGTCTTGCTTTCAGGGTTTAGGGTTTAGGGCTTTAGGGTTTTAGGGTTTAGGGTTTTTGGATTTTAGGACTTTAGGGATTTTAGGGTGTTTAGGGTTTTTAGGGTTTAGGGTTGAGGGTTTAGGGTTGAGGGTTTAGGGATTAGGGAGTTTTTTCCCGCCAAACCCTGACCCGAAACCAGGTTCCGGAGTTTAGATTCAAGGGTTTGGGCTTCAGGTTGCCGGACTCAGGGCTTCAGGACGATGGATTCCTGAATAATTTGAATATGGTATTCGGGTATGCCATAGTACAATTCTATCAACGAAGCCCAGGAATTTACTCCGACTCCTACGTTAGCTGGAACCAGCTCTTCAGGTGGTACAAGCTCTGGACAATATGGAGTAGGACGGAGTTCAGGGGCCACTGCGGTCATGATGCTTCGGATAGGATGCGGTTTAGCCGACGACAGTGACTGCGACTGTGCTGTTCGTTCTTGGCAATAGGTGGTGGCAGGCAGTGGATAGCAAGCAGTAGTAGTAGTGTAGTACTGTTGTAGTAGTAGTAGTAGTAGTAGTAGAAGTAGTAGTAGTAGTAGTAGTAGTAGCAGCAGCAGCAGCAGCAGCAGTGCAGTAGCAGCAGTAGGAGCAGCAGCAGCAGTAGTAGTAGGAGGAGGAGGAGCAGCAGCAGCAAGGAGGCCTCGAGCCGCGTTCGCCAGGTTCTGCGCGCCGGGGTGCTCCAGGCGCATTTCCACAGAGGCTGGGGCAGCGGCGATTGGAGGCCTCAAGGAGTTTGCTTAGGGCAGCTGAGGAACCAAATCCAAAAACCCTTAAACACTGAAACCCTAAGCCCTAAACCCCTAAACCCTAAGCACTGAACATCCCGAACGGAAATTGCGGAGAGCCCTGGATCCCTTCGAAAGAACGTGAACTTTGCAAGTTTGTGTTCGGACATAATTGGGGGCCTCAATAATTACCTATACTATTCCGGGGGGATCCTTATTCTAATCATAGTACACTGGGTCCCCAAACCCAGTCTAATCATTAACGCCCCTATTTTAGTACCGGGTGCTCTGACAAAAAGCTCCAAAAACGAAGAAATCGACCGCGATCTTGAGTTGCATTCCACCAGTGCCAAAACGGGAATCCGCATCCTCTAAAAAGATCTCAACAGAAACCATAAAGGCAACCCCTTACACCCATAACGCGGAAACCCCAAAAAACCTGGATGACACCCGAAATCCCGATCCCTCTCCAGCCTGCCCTCCCGTGCCGGGGCGGTTGCGGCCCACACCGTGCTTGCCGGGCCCGTTGGGTTGGGCTCTGGCATCGCCTGCATTGCTCGATGACCATGATATTGCCACTAACGCTAAGCCAAAACCAATGCGCATACGGTAAAAAAAAAACAGGGCAAGCGAAAGCTTAAAAAACTGATGAGAGGAAGAAGACAAAAATTTGAATAGTAGCAGAAACACTGCCTATCATCATCCTCATCATCATCATCGTCTTAATCACCAGAATCGCAGTATGCAGCATCAGAACTGTACCCACTGTTACATCATCATCGTCCGACCATCATTACCAGAACTGACAACGTCATCTTCAAGACTACAACCATCATCATCATCATCTTCTTCTTCCGACGCAGCCAAAGTCTGAAGTCTGGCTAGCGAGCGCCTCATGACGACTTTCAGTCGCCCGGCCGCTTACAGCGGCATGGCACGTATGCTCCGTTTGAGCATGCCCTCGACATTAAGGGTGCTGTGCTCTAAAAAGACATCCGAGTATCAGCGTACTTTGAGGATGCGATGCGCAAAAGTGGTTTAAACAGTTGCAACCTCCTCAGTCATCACGGGTATCCAAGGCGCATGGAATAGTCTCGCTGACTACTTTATTCCTTCCTTGCACCGTCAGGGCTGGTGGCAGACGTGTCATCAACCGGTGGAGGAGGGTCTCCAAGTGGTCGAGTCGTTGCTGAAGCAGATGCACGTCCATCGTCACACGACGGAGCCACGTCTCCAGGAATTCTTGATGACTGCTGAGCCAAGTCTCCCGCATCCGATGCATGGTGCCTATGGAGCTTCCGGTCTCCAGCATGAGGCGTGGGCTTTGAGGCTATGCCTACGTGGCTAGAATAATCAGGGCCAAGAGGGTTGCTAGAGGCGGAAGTTGCTTCTGATGCGTCTGAGGCTGTGTGCCGGCACAAGACAAGAACGTAAGCTGAGACTGAAGTGTCATCTAGCTCCGCAGCGGTTGCCCCAGTCGGCTCCCTGTCATCGTCTAGCAAGTACGGCAAGGCATCTTGCACCAGAACAGTGTAGTGTCCAGAGTGGGGGGTGGGGCCATGATGTCGTATGTAACATGTAACATCATACAAGTGCCATGCCACGCGAAGTGTTCCCGGCTCACAAAAGACCGGGACCTGGACAGCTCCTGCCAGGAGAAACGGGTGTTGTGTCTTGCTAACTACCCCTAAGGCAACAGCAAATCTCGGCAACTGCACAAAGAGCCATGGCGGGGTTGCATCGAGGGCATGCAGCGACTCCTGCTGGTGCCAGCGGTTGATAAGCTCCTGCAACGCTGGATGATGGACAGGGGTGTCCGGAAGGCCTAGGCATCTGTTGAGTGCCCCGGTGAGTCGTGTGTGGGCCTCACCCGAGGGTGAGACTGCACGGCTGCTCCATGTTGACACCCCTGATGAAGCGACCTTGGGGATAAGAAAGTCGATGAACTCTGCTATGTCATGCTGTTCTCTGGCCCCCCGCCACCCCAGAAGGAGAAACCCCAGCGAGCGTCGTGCTCGCATCCCCGGTCCTGAGAGCGCAGTGAGTGTGCGCGGCAGCATGTGAGTGGTGCGCGTGCGGTTTGTGGCGTGCCAAAGTGCATAGACAACCGCATTCATGTAACAATCATTACCATCATTGCGAAGTCTAAACGGTGGGATGAGCAAGGATGGGCACTCCTGCAGGCTCAATTGAAGACTGCCTCCGCCAGCTGCTGCACGATTGCTGCCCGTCTCGGTATTTTCCGTTTGAGGGAGGCCCCGATCAACATCAGCGCCGAGACCCCAATCAACTGCACCAGATGCTCGTGCACTTGCTGCGCCACCGGTCCTCGCAGGGAGACGGAGAGGAAGAAGAGCGCCGTTGTGGCATTGGCATCCCCCACCTCGTTGAGGCGTGGGCGGGATGTGAACTTCTGAACCACGTCGCCCCGGAGATTTGCAAGCAAGTATAGACAGAAGTGCCGGCTGTGCGATCGCCTCCTTGTCCGTGTCCCTGACCAGCCTTTTCTCCTGATGGCTCCACTTGAAGTACGTCCACTCTTCGGCCTGATTCATCCAGTCCGCTGCCTGGAGCTTCTTGACCGACTCCGGTGTGGAGGTCATGAGCACCATGAGTTCCCGCAATCGGCGGATGAGGCAAGCCATCAACAGCGTCCTCAGCGGGGACTTGAGTGTCGCATCGCGAGCGTCCTGGCGAGCGTGCCAATCCTTGGAGATCTGGATGAGGGCCGGTAGAATGCTCACCTCCGGGTCCTCGCGAAGGAAAAGACAAAAGCCTTTGTCTCCACGTAGCTCCGCAAGCTGGTCCTCCTGGCGGATGATGACCTTGGTGAGGGTCTTGATGGTGTCCTGATGTGGCCCGAGTGCGCTGGCCCCGAATGGTCGCCCCGGTTGCTTTGGGTGACGGCGCTGTCTGGTGGCAGGCTGCTCCGGGCGTGGTCGCTTGGTAGGCTGGCCCTCCGAGGTGTCGCTCCCCTGCCCGCGTTGCGATGTGCTGTTCTGGAAGTTCACGTACCGGAAGATGTCCGCCTCCGGGTTGATTCCCTGCCCGTCCGGACTCATGATAGAGTCGCTCGGCATCTCGTGCGGCTTGTTGCTGGCAGTACCTCGCAGCAAGGACCAGTTGATAGAGCACCGGACACTGGACTGCGTGCCTGGCTGGAGCCCAGACTCGTCTGGCACACCAGGGGCAGTTTCGGCCACTACTGAGCTGGCTTCTGAAGGATTTGCAGATGCATTCAACGCTGTCCTGAAGAGGATGCACGATGTCCCAGTGAGCCCTACGCTGATGCTGTTTGATGTGCTGGTAGTCAGCTACCCAGAAGTGGCACAAGACACAATGAGCCTGGAGTTCCTGGCGGATGGCAGTATTTGAGAGCAAGCTTTCCCAACGCGCCCACGAGGCTTGAAAGAAAGGCCGCTGAACTAGTGGTAAATTTTGCACCGGCGATTCTTGATGTGCCGGCGGCGGCTGAGTCGGCGGTTGGAGCTCCGCTCTCAACTCCACCTCAGCTGTTGGTTTGTGCACGAAGGAGGCTCCCCCCACAGCTTCACAGGCTCCCACCTCAATGTGATGTTTGAGATACTGCCATTTCGTGAATTTGCGACCACAAGCCCTGCAGTGCGGCAGGCCGCCGACCGAATGTTGGGCAGGATCAAACAGATGTTTCGGCTCAGGTCGGCCCGCCTCGCTGGCCGGAGCCGGATGCTTGATGCCGCAGTGGATGTGGAGCGCGCGCTCCGTCAGGAAAACGGCCTCGCAATGTTGGCAGACATACTGTCGAACAGGGATGGGTGTCGGCGGATGGCCCTGCTCACGCTGTATCAAGAGACGCAGGTGCGTCTCGTGCTGTCGCAGATAGTCCAGTACCCCTGCTTCAGTGGTAATGTCCGGTGCAACCCGTGCGCGCAACTCAAGTTTGGCCCGGGCCTGCTGGAGTTGGTCCAGGAGCTGCTCCCCTGGTTGGCGCAGCCCCGCCTGCTGCCAAATGGTTGCATTGGTGACTCGCGTGAGGTGTGCGGGTTTCCGCATGATGGCCCGCAAGTGCTTAAGGGTGCGCGTCTCCCATTTCTGCAGCCCCTGTGTGGTTAGGCCTACTGCGGCGAGTGAGTAGATAGTGCTGGTGAAGACACAAGCAGCCCATAGCCGGATTCGATGAGCTTGCGTGATGGCATGCCTACCCGTGAGGGACTTTTGAATGGAGTGGTAGCGGAGCTGGCCCGCCTGTCAGCGATGCTCAAGATTCCGGTCCGCCACATTGTGATAACTGACCTTCGACCCCAAGTACTCATGCTCTGTTTTAATGGGAATGAGCTGAGTACGGCCATTTACCAACACAACGAGATGAGGGAGCCCCTGCTTCAGTCGGGTGTGCGCCCGGAGTGCATTTTGTGCCTGCTTGCCAACTAGTTTTAGAAGGATCGCTGTTTTCGAGAAGTTGATGCGCATTTTGTAATCTTCGAGAGTGCACAGCAGGATTTGCAGCTCACGGAGGGCACGCTGAAGATCATCAGAGGATTTTATGAGCCAGTGCGCCCAGCAGTCATCAGCAAACATGGTGGGTGTGTGTCTCACCCAAGCTTCGGAGAGGCGCTCTTCGAGGGTATCAAACAGGGCAATGGTGTACCATACCCACAGGCATGGGGCTACTTTGCAACCCTGCTTCAACCCATTGGTGGGCACAAAAGCTGCAGTGTGGTTCCCGGCCTGGTAGACAAATCTCGCACCCGTGTGGAGGCGTTGTACCACTTCGACCACAGCATGGGGAACCTGATACTTCTCCAATGTACTGTATATGCTGCAGCGATCAGCCAGGTCAAAGGCACGACTTAGGTCAAGAGACAGGCTGAGGGCTCCTGCAAGGGCCAGCGGTCGCCTGCCCGCGTACATCCCAAATCTGGAAATTTGCTGCAAGCGAAACAGCTTGGTGGCCTCCGCCACATGCATGTGGATGCGAAGGAGGGCATTCAGCGTGCCACGTCCCGCCGTGTAGGCAAACTGCGGGCGCTGGGTAACAAGTTGGCTGAGCTGCTCAAGCATACGATCACGCAGGGCCCCCGCGAGGGCCTTTGAGGGTGGCCCCATGAGTCCAATAGGCCTGAGATTTCCCAAGACGTGTGGAGATTTCCCCACCTTAGGCAACATGACCATCTGAGCGTCAGTGAGGTCTCCCCGAAGATGTCCAGGTGAGCCTTGCACGAAGTGTTGGCGGAAGGAAGCACCGAAGATAGGGCCAAGCAAGGAAGCACAGAGTTTCCAGGCCGCGGCTGGTGCCAGATGGCTGGGGACCGCCTTGGCCGCTTTTGTAGCCTCCAGTTGCACAGTGATTTCGGCATCTGTGATGGGCAAGGACTCGGTGAGCGAGTTGCTCACTGTGTTGTGCATAGGTAGTTTTACCCTGGGCTACCAAGGCTTGGACTTCGGCATTCTTGCTGAGGAGCTGCCCCTCGTCATCACGGAGACGCGAGAAGACCCGCCCAGGTGAGGGTGTCAAGGAGCGGACGATCTGAAACAGGGTACGCTGGTCGCCCCGTTGGGCTGCCTCTTCGGCCTGTAGCAGTTTGGCAGCAAAAGCAGTCCGCTTGATGTCTTTACACTGCTGGCGGAGGGCCCTGGAGGCCCGAGCAAAGGCCAGGTAGAGCTTCCACTTGTGGAGCATGACGGCAATGGTGGCGACACGCGGCCTGCGCAGCAGAGCATACAAGCGCCAGGTTTGTCTGGCTGAGGCACGGAGTGGCGCCTGCGCGCTGACACGGCTGTCGGCAATCGGAGGCGGAGGGAAGACCTGCTGCACACATTGCTGGAGTATGTGATTGACACGGGTATGCAAGGCGTGTGGGTCGCGGATTGGAAGGTCCTGCAGCTTTTCAGCGACCAGGGTTTGCAGGGCCGCCGCATCCGCATTGCAACTGGTAGCGGCCTCCAGCAAGCTGGCTTTGTCGATGGACGGGCTTGTGGTCTGAGGACGGCCTGGCCGCCAGTGCACCGGTAACATCGGTAGCTGAGCCTCAATAGGCAGGTGGCCAGCAAGGCGCCACCCTGCGACAGGAAAGTGATGCAAGGGACAAGCCTGACGACTCGTCCCCGTGGCCACGTTGTGATCAGCCCTGGTGACTGTAGTGAGTGTGTGGCGGTTGTGCGTGCCAGCTGTTCAATGCGCATAAGTCGTGACTGGCAAAGAGCGTGGGCAGACGAGAGTCAATGGTGCTAGCACTAGTGGCTGGTCCCACGGCATTGCCCACGTGGGGGTGCTGTGGTCGCAAGTTAGTGTTGTAATCCCCACACGCAAAAAGGATGTTCCGAGAGGGCAAGGAGCCAAGGGTGACATCAAGGGCATCCCAAACCGAATCTCTGAGCTTGGTGTTTTCCTGTGTGGATAAGTGACTGCGCCACACGTGCTGGTAAGTAACAACTATATCCAGGCTAACATCCGAACGCTTAGGCTTGGCACGGACATGCACCACGCGACCCCCGATCACCTCATGTACAGCCGGGTCCTGGAAGTGGGCACGTGACAACATGACGAGCAGCCCAGCATACCTGTCTGCGGCGGCATCGGCAGGGGCCGGTGCGCTGTGTATACACAGCCACTTCCCTGAGAGGTATTCTGAGCTGGCCGACCAGTGCGTTTCTTGCACAACGCAAACCTGGTACTTGTTTTGCACCTCCAACCAGGCGACTAGTTCTTGGTACAACCCCGCATGTAGACCCCCAGCATTCCAACTGATGCAGTGCAGCTCGGGTTTCGCACCTGCTCGTTGGCGTGCCCGTCGCGGATTTGACCTGGGAGCAGCTTGGGGAGGAGTATATGGTAAGGTCTGCAGGGATTCCGCACTGTGCCAGCGACCTCGGTAGTAGGTTCCGCCTGTCCGGGCAGCCCTGAGTCGGGCTCTGCGGTACGCTCTGCTGCAATGCTTCCCCGGCGGAGCGCCAGGTCCCGCCTCCACTGCAGCTATGGAGGCAACCCTCACCCCAACTGCCCCCTCTATACTACTTGTCAGCATCATTACGGAGAGAGGAAGGCAGCAGCCGGACTTGGGACCGGCTTGGCTCATCGACTTGGGCGGCTTAAGCGGCTTAAGTGGGTGGCGTCTAGGGGTTGGGGGCTTATGAGGCTTAGGGTGAATTGAGGCTATGGCGGAGTGCGGGCTGGACGTGCGAGGCACTTTGCGTCGCGGTCCTGGCCGTCGGCTGCGCAGAGGCCATCGTCCGGAACAGACCTGTAAGGAGGCAGTGGGGTAGGGACGGGTGAGGGCCTATGTCTACGCCGGGGCCTTAGGTAGGGTCCTAGGGGGTGCAGGGTCGGCAGAGCTTGAAATCGCACAGTGCTTAGGCTACGAGGCCTGCCAAGAAGCCATCGGCATGTGGCCGCCGGGAGCTGCACACAGATGCGTCGGGCGCGGCAGCAAGGCTCAAGAGGCAGGTGCGCCCCTCCTGGGGCGTCTCTCGTGGGTAGCCTGGTACTCCCAGTTGGCCCAGTATTGCCGGCGAGACTCTGTAAGATACTGTGGGCCAGCCGCTGAACCACTTGCCAAGAGGCACCTTGGAGTTTCCTTCTGAGGGCTCCGACCCTGGCCCCTTGGGACCTGCTCGATATGTTCGGGCAGGTAGCACATAATTCCAACCGAAATTGGCCACAAAGCACACCCCTGGATTCCTCCAGGCTCGGTCCTTCCAACACGAGGCTTGTCTCCGACCATGTAAGTGAGTTAAGTGAGGCTGGCGAGGCAGCCTCACAGGAGGTAGAGCTGGAAAGTCCAACCGAGGAGCTGCTGGGAGACCTTTCGAACCTTCCATCCGGTAAGGGTGGTCCCTGCACTCGCACCATGAACCTTTGGTTGTTCTCGCGCACTTCCAGTACCGGCCATCGGCGGGCACGATCGGAGTCACTGTCGCTGGCCCCATCGGCCGGTGTGTCTGACCGGCTCGCTGCTGCAGAAGACCTCCCAGAGATGGCTGTGGATGGAGGGTGCAGCGGCCGGGGTGGTGGTGGCCCCCGTGGCGCTCTGGCAACAGGTGGCCCCTGGCCATGATCGTGTGGAGTGACGCCCATGGACTGCTCGAGGTCCTCCAGCTCAGATAAAGTGGCACCAGCACCAGCATCACTGTCATCGTCAGCCATGGCCGTGCGTGCATAGAGGTTTCACCCAAGTCAGCCCGGGCCTTGCGAGCCTAAGCCAGCCAAAGAGAAACCCAGCCCAAAAAGCCAAGCCCCCCGGCCCCAAAAGAAGAAGAGAACACCACCCCCGGGCACTCGCCTGTGAGCCACGGGGCTTCATCATCATCATCATCATCACCGTCGCCATCATCATCACCAACAGTGTCATCCACGCCAGCATCATCCGCGTCGTCATCACCATCAGCAGCACCATCGCCTCAGCTAGTGTAGGGACCTTGATAGTTAGAATAGGGTTTTGGGGTAACTTATACTATAGTCATAGTAAGGACACCCATAGCTAGTATAGTAGTATAGGCATTTAGTAAGGCTCCTATATTTACTTCTTCTTCTGTCAGAAGAACACTCGCCGCGGTAGCGGTCGACGCATCTGAATGCAGCTCCGGGGATTGGGCCTCCAGGGTGCTCCAAGGCTTGTAAGGGGCCCTTCTCAAGGGTTTCATACCCAGAGGGCCCAAGACCCCTTAATTCAGGCATGTACCCTAAATCATAATAATATTAAGGCCCCTATACTTTATGGTATATTCCTTAATTACCGGTCTTGGGTTCTCTGGGTAGGAGGGTTCAGGCTGTCGGCTTGGTGTGTTGGGACTGGGTTCAGGGCCGTCCTCGAAACCCCGTGCAGTAGCAACAAAAACATCGTCTCCCGAATAGGGAAAGTTAGACCGAAAGCGCAACGGTCCCTTCTGCGGTTGCCTTGCACCTGAAACAGGAAACGCCCTGAAGCCCAAAGCCCTGGAAAGAACGAATTGCAGGGCAGGCCGGTCGTTCCTGCAGCGACTTTGCGGCAGGCGCATCTGTGACCTGCGAGCAAAGCAATTGGAATTCCGAGCTGTGAGTTTTGGAGGGTAGGATCAGAATTTAAGGTTCAGCACTAGGGCTGCAGGGTTAGGGCTTTAGGGTTTAAATGGCTTGTACGCTAAGCTTCTTTGGGTTTAGGCGTCAGGGGTCTGGGGTTTCGCTTGAGGGGTTTGGGCAGTTTAGCCTTTTAGTCTTTAAAACAAGTCTTCAATTCGAAACTCCTGCTTGCAAACCCCTTGCCCGGAGTTTAGGGCTTGCATTCATCACGTTCAGATTTTGGGCTTGCTGTGCTCCACCCAAAACTCAGCCGTTTTGACCACGAAGCCACCCCTGCAAGCCCCGATGCTAAAGCCTTTAACTTCTAGGCCCCATGGCCCAAAACTCCTACACTCCTACACGCTACAACCGGAAGAACTATCCTGAACTATCGAGCCTGGACCCTGGCATGGCACGGAGCTCCCAGAAACTCCACAACACGAATCCCTTTGGAAAGAGAGTAGCAAGGTTTAGTTTAGGTCTTACTGGTGCAGGGTCGAGGATGCACCGGCTTTCGAAAACTGAGCTCTCTTGCAAGCGCTCTTGCGAATTCCACAATCCTAGGAAGTATTGGGGGAGACCGCTTAAAGGCGACCCTTCCTAACCCTACTTCTGGCTCTCTTAAAAGGGACCTTATTGAGAGGGTCTATATCCCCAAGGGTCCCCCTTATCCTAACTCCCACACAAAAACTCCCAAAACAGTGATCGAGCTTGCACGTTGCTCCCTACTTTCGAGCTACAGACTGATAGGAACAGAGATGCCAAAGAGTAGGAAATAGAGTACACATAGGATCGTCCCGGTCAAAAGAACACTGATAGGCAAATAGTGTGACACTTAAGAGAAAGGTGTATGACGACTGAGGATACTTCGTGCGTCAATTATATCAGAATTACCAAGTACAGCAGTACTCAGAGATTGCCTTCAGCTCCCACTCGGCATCAACAATCGGATTCCGATGTCAGGTCCAGTGCACTTCGCCTAAGGCCTATTCCAAACCGGGCTTGGGGGAATGGAAGGGCCTTAACTTTCAGGGCAGGGTTTGGGCAGCTTGTACTATGCACAGTATTCGGAACCCTCAGGAAGAGTATTTAAAAACCATGCAGACACATCCTATTACACCCTACAAACACCTATAAGGGTCCTACCAAAAAAGACTACAAGCACTCGATCAAACCCCCCAGAAACTTCCGAAGAAACTCTCTAAAGAAACCCATAACAGACCCCCCCCCCGTAAGGAGCCATCCGCACCGAACCCGAAGCAAAATCTCTCCCCGAAACGCCTCTGGGCCATCCTTGGCAGGACGTCCGGGTCCTCACAAGGTGGCAGAGAGCTCCTCCGGGGCGTTTCAAGGGTTCTCCAAAGGTGTCTCGGTTTAGGGTTTAGGGTTGAGGGTTCTGAACAAGGCTAGACCCTAAACCCTAAACCCCAAACGGCTGCCAGAGCTGCGGTTTTGACTTTAAGGTTTAGGGTCTCAGGATTGGGGCTTCAGGGCTTGAAGGTTTTGGGTGCGGGTTGTGGGGTTTGGGGATTTCAGCATTCGGGGTTGCGGCATGTAGTGCTTCAGGGTTTCAGGATTTCGACTTTCAGGATTTAGACGGGCTTAGGGTTCTCGTTTTGGGTTTGTGATTTTTGCGGTTAGGGTGAGAGGTCAGGGTTTGGCTAGGGTTTAGGATGGTGTGCAACAGTAATCAATAGTAGTCACAACGGTTTAGGGTTTAGGGTTCAGGGTATAGCAGTAACAACCATGATAGTAATAACAGCAATGATAACAACAAAGTAATAAAGAGTAAGAATATAACAACAACAATCACATAATAACAACAAAAAGATAACGATTATTACAATGATTGCAATACTAATAACCGTAGGAACAACAACTTAATACGAACATAATGACAACAGTAATAGCAATAACAATAGTAATAACAATGTAGTAGTAATCATAATAGCAACAATAATAATGATAATGACAATAGTAATAATACTACCTCCAGGCCCAGGCTAGCTCAGGTGGCCCGGGTGGGGCGTAGCGGGGGATTTGGCACCTACAAACCCACCTGCCTGCGCGACGGGCCCAGATGCCTCAGCGCCGGTGCTTTCGAGGGAGGGAAAAGGTTGTGGAGTTAGTTTTGGGGTGTATAAGGATACAATAGTAATGGCAGAATAAATATAATAATGATAATAGTCATAATAATAATCATAATAATAATAAGAAGAATAATAATAAGAATAATAAGAATACTAATAATAATAATAACAATATTAATAATAAGAATAATAATAAGAAGAAGAATAATAATAAGAAGAAGAAGAATAATAATAATAATATTAAGTCTTAATAACAGTTGTGGCAATAGAGTAATAGTTAGAATGATTATAAATATTTGAATAGAATCCTGCGCAGACACTGGGGTCGTGGACTCCTGAAATTGCCATGACAGGAGCCAAAGGTGGAAACTTGCAGCCTGCGCAGTCACGACGGCTCAGACAAGCTATGATCAAAGCTGCACCCTGAACCCTAAACCCTGAGCCCGAAGCCCTAGACCCTACACCCTAAGCCCTAAACCCCTGAACCCCTAAACCCTGAACCCCACAGCTCCTGAAGCCTCAAGCTCCCAAACCAGTCGCAGCCCAGGTGCTCGGCGCTGCCCGATGGCCCCAAGTGCCGAGATGAGGATCGAGCCAGCTGCCACAAGCCTGGGCATAGGGCTTACTTAGGGTTTCGCCCGAAACCCCAAACCCTAAACCCTGAACCCTGAACCCCTAAACCCTGAACTTGCCCTAAACCTTTGGGGTTGGGTGGGGTTCCTAGGAAAACCCCGAACTCCGGAGCCCTGCTGAAGCCGAAACCGCTCTCGACCTCTACTCTCAACATCGAGCCGAAAGCCCTAAACCCTAGAGCCGAAAAAGACCCAAACCCTACACCCTAAACCCAAAACCCTAAACCCTTTAAACCTAAAGCCGAAAAGCCCCAAAAGCCTAAACCTAACCGGGTCTCTCCAGGGACGCCGGAGCGGGGGCTCCTGAGAGAGTTAGTTAGGGGCCCCCCCCCCACCCCAAAAAAATGTAACGACGGAGGAAGCCTCCCGAGCCTCCAAGGACCCTCACAGAAGCCTCACCAGTAAGAATAAAAGCTCATGGGTTTAGGGTTTAGGGTTTGGGGTTTAGGGTTTAGGGTTTAGGCTAACACTAATGGTTCATGCTAATAGTTGGTACATGATAGCTCCTAACTAACAGCTTAATGGTAGTAGTATTGGTTCTAGAGTCTAGAGTCTTTGTGGAGGAGCCCTTATAGCAACTAGGCTTTCCATGGATTGATTCGGCCTCTTAGTTTCAGTTCTCTGCCGTCGGAGGCGCGTCGCAAGGTCTCAGGCCGTGTTGGCAGCACACTGCGGCCGGAGCTCTCCATGCACCTATCCAAATGCGACTGAAAGGTTTAGGGCCAGGGTTGAGGATTGAGATTCGAGGGTATGGTGCTTGGGGCTGCGGGTTTAGGGCTGAGGGAATTAGAGGTTGCAAAGCAGTCCTAATCATAAAGCTATACCCTAAACCCTAAACCCTAAACCCTATACCCTGTACACGTATCGACCTTGGCGTTGGGGCCTCCAATGCCGCCGCAGAGACCGCCTCCGCTGCAGTCGGGCGAGACACACTTGGAGCCGCCACCGCCTATGCCTGCACGCTG